AGCTGGGGGAAGGAGAGGGAAAGAACCTCAAGCAGACTCCTCATTGAGCACAGAACCTGATGTGAGGCTCAATCCCACGACTCTGAGATCATGACCTGAGCCGAAATCAGGAGTGAGACACTCAACCACCTGAGCCAGCCAGGCGCCCCTGACTTCCTGGACTCTAATGTCTACTGAGCAGGATCGAGGGTGGCACCCTGTAGATTACTGTGTCCGGCCGCATGTCTGTGAACTCAAGGCTGGTCTTTAACCTTTGCTGTGATGAGCACCCTTGTCCAGGTGACTCCCAGCACCTTTGTTGGACACAGTGAATGTGCGCATGAATTGGTAAAGAGCGAAGGGGTGAGCAGTCCATCCCTTTCTGGGGTGCGTGCTCCTGTTCCGTCACCATGTAGGGGATAACCTTTCTCCTGCTGCATTAGTCAGCTGTGCTTGGACAACCCCGGCGTCTCTAGTCTGGGGGACGGTGCAGTGGGGCTGTTCCGAGGCCAGGTGCACCTGCCGCTTCCCTGACTCGGAGCCCCGAGCCTGCCTGCGTGCTCCCGACCGTGTCCAGCCCTGCCTTCGGGGCCGCCCCTTCCTGTGTGGCCACAGGCGGCCCCTGCCACGCTGGGCCAGGCCCCAGGCCAGGGGAGCCTGGGGAAATGCTGGCCAGGCGCTGAGTGCATCAGGCACACTGTGATGTGGCTCGTGCCCTGAGGAACCGTTTGGCGATCTTTCATTGTAATTAATTAATATCCCCTTAAGTGGCCCCCTGCGCCTCACGGCTACGTCTGGGACCGCGCCAGGGACGGCACACTCGGCAGCCCAGACTCCGTCCCCTGGCCGTCCCTAGGAGACCGCTGGTGCTGGGGCGCTGGCTGAGGGGGCCTGCGGCCAGTCCCGCAGGACCGGGGACGCTGCCAAGGACCCGGACGGCCGTCCCGCCCCACTTTCTCCGCGTGCCTGCGCGAGCTCGGTCTTCCCGGCCTCACACAGCACACTCTCGTTTGCCACGTCAGTGACACCTGGCAGGGCTAATTTTCCCTGGCTTTGTCTCATTCTTCAGAATTTTCTTGGGTATTCTCCTGTATGTAGTTTTTCCACAACGAGCTAGGAGAAGCTGCTGAGACCCGCTGGTTCTCCGACTCTCCCCGAGCAGCCCTGAGCCCTTGTTCCTTTTCCCATGTGTTTGGTGCTATTGCTTTCGTAAAGAGAATGCTTCCCTCTCTTTTGCTCCCTGTAACTGGTCTCCATTTATAGAAAAGAGGCCCCTCCGGCAGGTGGCTCTGTCCTCAGCCAGCGTGTTGCTTTTCCCGCGGCGCTCAGCGCACCTGGAGACACCGGGTCCAGCAGCGGCCCCTTTGCCTCCTTCCTTACGATCTCTCTTATGCTCACCTCTCTCCTTACATCGACTTGTAACCACAGTGGGGACGTGGTGAGAATGCTTCTGGTTCTTCACCTTCACGTTTGATACTTTTTTTGGTTTAAGATATCGTTTTTTTTTTTTTTACCATAAAAAGAAAATATCCACTTATTGGTAAGTGTTTTTAAAATTTAATCAGGAATGAATGCTGAATTTTTTTTTTTTTTTTTAAGTAGGCTGCATACCCAGCACGGAGCCCACTGTGGGGCTTGAACTCAGGACTGCGAGATCGAGACCTGACACAAGATCAAGTCAGACACTTAACTTACTGAGCCACCCAGGTGCCCCTGCTGAATTTTTTTAGAATGCCATTTTAGCTTCTCTGTGGACGATGATGTGGTTTTTCTTCTTGGACTTATTCACATGGTGAATTCGGTGACTAGACGTCCCACTTTGAACTATCCTTGCATTTCTAAGGGATAGGTCCTACTTGGCCAAGGCTTATTATTATTTTAATGAGCTTTAGAATTAAATTGGTTAATGTTTTTTGAGGCTATTTGCAGAGATATTCATCTATAACACTGCTCATTTGGTGCTATTTTTTCAGCCCTATCGCACAACCTGATGTCACCACGCACGACGACGTGCCGCCTGCTTCTGCAGACTTTGGTGCCCATCCAGGGCATTGTCCACTCGCCTGTGTGGTGTGCGCTGGGTGGCCTTACATAGGGTAGAACTCTGGGCTTTGCTTGTTTCGTACTTCTCAAAGATGTGTTTTTCTTTCGGCAAATAGAGGATATGGAGCCATGCCACCTGGGGTTCAGTCTTTTGCTTAGAAATAAACTCTTGTGCCCATCTTCGCCCATAAAGGTGTAGAAATGCACACGTGCTCATCTGTAAACTAGATACTTCACCTTTCTCGTCGGCTGCTGGGGAGCAGATTAGATTACACACACACACAGACTTCTAAGACCAGGCGTGCCGTAAACATTATGTAAGTGCTATTGTTACAATTAATGCTATTATTCATTTGTTAACAGTACAGAATGCCAGGTTTCACTGGCGGAGCCCAGTTGCAGCTTGATGGCCTCAGATGGTCGGAGCTTGAGCTGCAGGTGCGTGGAAGGGTCCCCGCGTGTGGGCAGGAGCACTGGGCCCACAGGTAGAACAGCCTTCACGCTGATGAAGCACCTGGCGGACTTGGAACCTGGTTGTGTGTGTGAAAACTCTTAAGTTTTCTGGGAGTGGATATCACATCTGACTGGAGACCACTTCCCGCTATGCTGGTGAGGTCCTATAGTGAGGAATGCAGGCGCCCGCAGATGGGGGTGAGCGTTCGGACAGATCAGGTGAGTCTGCGCAGGCTTTTCCCTGACTGCGGGTAGGGGTGTCGTGACACAGGAGGCCGGGAAACCCGTCCTGCTGGCAGATTAACTGGATGTGTGGATGGGGACCAGTAAAGCTGCCCAAGCCCTCACGGGTTGTTAATTCCAAATGGTGTGAATTAGACACTGGAGCGCTGGTACAGAACATAGCCTGGTGTGGGGTGTAGACGAGGCCCATGATGGAAGCCTGTGAGCACCATCCACCGGCTTCTACTGGGACTCTGGACTGGAGAGGTTTCATCCAAGGGGCAGGGACTAGCTTGCTGTCAGACCGTGATTGGAAATGCCATCACAACCAAAAGACATACAATAATCTTGGGTCTGAAATACCCACGATGTCTCTGGTAACGTCTGAGCAACGTGGAGAGGTCAGTGCCCGCAGGAGTGCCATAATACAATGGAAGTGTTTGTGCGGGAACATGCAACGGGGGAGTGCTCACAGCAGGTCGGCCCTCTCCTCGAAATGACCGCGGGCTGGGGGCTGGGGGCTGGGGGGTTGTTTAACGGGTGTGAGGAAGTTCTGCGGATGGTTCACCACAATGCGAACAGACCGAGCCCTACCCAACTGTATGCCTACAAGCGATTAAGATGGTAAAATTTGGGTTTGGCGTATTTTACCACAACTAAAAGAGCAAAAGATCTGTGTGGGTGTTTCTCCAAAGACGATACACAGATGGTCGATGGTACCCGGAGAGACGCGCACCATGATTCGTCAGGGGAGAAATAGACGGCGCTTCGCGAGCTGCCCCTTCCCAGCCACTAGCGGCTGTGGTGAGTAACGGTGAGTGACAGGTGTCCAGGGTTGGGGCCGCGGGAGCCTTTTAGCTGCTGCAGGGGGCAAGATGGCGCAGCCTCTCTGGAAAAGTTTGGTAATTAAAACATTAACAAAGACCTACTGCGTGTTCCAACAATTCCACTCGTACATACACACTGGCGAGGACCGAAAACGTATGTCCACGGAAAACACGTGCACAAATGCTCATTGCGGCATTGTTCATAAATAAATATTCATAAATGTTCGCAGACAGTGGAAACATGCCAAAGACCATCAACTGGCAAACCCGCACAAAACGTGGTCCGCGTGCACCGTGCTGTCACCCACAGCAAAGGGACTGATGCATGGGCGCACACCACAGCGTCGATCCTTGGAAACACGCTTGTATTGACCCACGCTGAGGTGGGTCAGTAGCTTGTCCACAAGGCTGTCATTGTCCCCGTCCTCTGTGTAATGAGTGTGCGTCTCAACACTGGCCTCCGAACGCACTACTTGGGACACGACGCTGGGTCTCCCTGGCCTGCCGCAGCCTTGTCCCCATCCTTTGGAAGGAGCCTCTGTCCTCAGGCCCCGCCAGCAGGGAGGGGACACATGCAGCTGAAGAGCAACGGAAAGAAGGGGGCCGACTGGGCTCACGGTCAGTTCCCAATTCACAAGCTCCAAAATGGGGGCATCAAAGACAATCAAGAAAAATAGCACCACTCTTTTCTGGTCCTAAGAGTGAATGCGGGTGGTTTTTTCTTTTTTAAGATTTTTATTTATTTAATTGAAAGAGAGAGAGAGAGCATGAGCGGGAGGGGTAGGGGGAGGGAGAGAGAAACTCAGGCTGAGTCTGTGCTCAGCGCAGAGCCCAATGCCGGGCTTGATCTCGTGACCCACAGATCATGACCTGAGCTGACACCAAGAGTTGGATGCCCAACCGACTGAGCCCCCCAGGCGCCCTGCCTGCAGGTGATTTAAGTGAAGGGACTGTTTTGCCAGTCCATTTGTTTGTGGATGCATTGTTTGCACATCCACAGAAGCGTATTTCAAATGGACATCGTTGTGCACAGCACTTGGTGACTTCGAAGCTTTTCTCCGTAGTTGGGAGGTGGCTGGCTCCAGGGAACGTTGGCTTGTGGGGAGCGGCGGCGTTTGGCGAGCGTCCTCATGGAGGCCCTGACTTCTTCTCCTGTTACCCCTTCACCCTGGGGCCCCCTGTGCGTGCTCACCCACTGGTTTTCCGTCCTTCACCTGGGCTCCGGAATGGTATTTGAGTTGAAGAGGTTTTGCGCCTTGCCACCAGCTGGCCACGTCTTTGTAAATAGAAGCAGCATTTCGTGTGGGGAAGGGGAGGGTGTTCTTCTTAGGTGGGGTCTGCACGGTGTTAGCGTTTGCTGCAGAGTGCAGAGGCGTGAAACACCACCCATTTTCTTTTCTTTTTTTTTTTTTTTTAGATTTTATTTATTTATTTCAGAGAGAGAGAATGAGAGAGAGCACATGAGAGGGGGGAGGGGCAGAGGGAGAAGCAGACTCTCTGCCGAGCAGGGAGCCCGATGCGGGACTCGATCCTGGGACTCCGGGATCATGACCTGAGCCGAAGGCAGTCGCTTAACCAACTGAGCCACCCAGGCGCCCCCACCCATTTTCTTCAACTTGCAAGTCTGAGAGCTGCTTGGGCCCCTGCTGGGCTCTTCCGTGTGCTCTGGCCGGTGGGCAGCAGGCAGGCGGGGCACGTGGTTCTTGTCCCCCAGCAGGCACCCCTGGCCTCGTTCTCATGGGGATTTGGGGACTCCAAGCAGGTGCAGCTCTGTTCAGGTCTCTGCTCGGGTCACATTTGCTATCTTTCCACCCGGGGTCTGCCCAAAGTCCTGTGGGGGAGGCCACCCGAGGGCCTGAGCGCAGGGAGGCAGCTTATCAGCCCTGTTGGCAAGCTGTCTGCCACGGTGAGAGACAAAAGCCACCACTGATATGGCTTTAAGCACCAAATGGTTAATACAGTAAGGAGAAAGCAGTCCCCCATTTTATCACGTCTGTGTTGCGTCACTCTGTCCTTTCTCCGATAGGTCCACGTTAGAAACGTGTCCTGGCACCAACAAAGGTCCCATCGACAAACTAGTTCCAGAAGCTTTTCTGAGCCAGACATTGCACTTACAGTTTAGATGAAGCTGAAATTCTGTCATTGTCTTGGAAAATGGTCAGTTCTGTGCAATTATCCTATGGGGAGCTATTTCCCCCGAGAAGCCGTGTGAACACTCTCATGAACCCAAGCAGATCTTTACAGTCACAGACACAGTTTTCTGCGGTCACCGAGTTTATTCTCACTGCTGGGATTTCATTTCTCGGGCTCCGGAAGCACAAGGTCCCTTGGGTGTGTCCTGCTCGTTGTGTGTGTGAATGCAGACAGATTCCACTCCCTGCCACGTGTCCGGGAACGGCGGGAGAAGATGTTTCCCAGCGCCTCCGAGAAAGGTAAAAAGCCATTGCTGCACCTGACAGGGCACCTCCGCGTGTCTGTGTGGGCCCTCCCCGCCCCTCCTGCCGGATTTAGCGCCCGCCTCTGCTCTGCCTCCCCTCCCCCGCCATCCGTTGCTTCAGGTCCCACCTTTACCTCCAGTTGCTGTCCTTCTGCCCTTCACAGGAGCACGTTGGCTTGGTCGTCATTGGGAATATTTATTTATTGAAATGAATAAATACTAATGTAAAACAGGCTTGTAGTCGAAAGTGCTAGACATAACTGAAAGTCTCACAGTGACAATAATGGAAACGAATTCTAATTTTGAACAACTCCCCTACCCCCCCACCATGCTCTGATCCCTGGAACACGATCCACCTTCAGAAATGTGCTTCCCAAATGGGATTTAAAACTGCCCCCAGGCAGGGAACAGCCCCTTCTGTTGCTAACAGAAACTGCAAGTTTATTTTCCCCCAAGACACTATTTCTGGAGTCTTCGGCTTGTCCCAGGCAGACAGGCGTGCACAGATGAGGGTGGCCAGCCCTGGTCCGCAGCCCGGGGTGTGGGGCGGGGTCCAGGCCTCCGCATCCCGGGTGTGCTTGTGTGCTGGGGGAAGGGGGCCCTGTCCCCAGCTCTCCGGTGCGTGTGGGCGCTCTGGTCCCGGTGTCCCGGATTGTTCATTTCTGGTCCTCGCCAGCAGGAGGGGCAGGTGGTCCAAGAAAGTGGGTGCATAGCATCCTGGGGCCAAGGGAAGGCCTGTCACTTACGCTTAACACAATGCTGCATGTCAGTTCTATCTCAATACGGAGAGGAAGGACCGCCGTACTCTGCTGATGGGTGTTACCGTGGTTACTCACACAACGCTTCTGCTCTCCCAACTAACCAACCAGCCCACCACCCAGCATTCGGACCACGACGGCCTGCCAGGCACTTGCTAAGCATCTGCAGTGGCCACCGGGCGGCGGTGTCCTCCAAGCATGGGGAACTGAATGCACTGATGGGGACGTTGTGGTTCCCGTGAGGACTGTGCCTGCCTCCCAGCGTGGCGCCTGGGGCAGTCCTTGCCTAGGACCCAGCTTCTCCGTGGGGGCCGCACCGTTTCCACCGCGGGTTGGGCGTCAGTGACTGTTCCTGGGAGCTCAGGCTCCTCGTGGCTTCCACTCGTGTTCTCTCTTCTAAAATAAATAAATAAAATCTAAAAAAACCCCAAACCATACAAAGATATTGAGAGTGGACACCCAGACACTTGCCCTTGGATTCTACGAAAATGTCGAACTTTTGTGTGTGTGTTGGGGGGTGGGGTTTGCCCTCTATCTTTGTCTTGATCTACTTCGTTATTAACAAAACTTCATACTTTATTTGGATTCTTAAATTTCAATTGTGCTGAAATACACATGGCATAAATTTACCACGTTTATCACTTCTGAGCATACAGCTCAGTGGTGTCGAGTACATTCACTTTTCGGTGAAATCATCATCACCATCGTGCCCAGAACTTTTTTCTCCTTCCTACCCTGAGACTTTATGCCCTTGAAACAACTACCAAATCCCCCTTCCTCCATGGGCCACCATCTGCTTTCTTTCTCTATGACTGACAGCTCCAGGTGCCTCATCCGGGTGGAAAAATGCAGGATTTCTCCCTCTGTGACTGGCTTCTTCCAGTTAGCATCCTGCCCGGCATCCACGTTGTAGCACGTGTCCGAACTTCCTTCCTTTCTGAGGCTGGATAATTTTCTCTGGCGTAGGTGTACCTGGTTTCATCTGTTGATGCACAGACCTTGGAGCGGTGAGGACACATCTCCCTTCTTTACGACCCTGTGTTTGGTTCTCTATGATGGCCGCAACGGGAACCCGCATGATGACCGACTGTGACGTGTTGAAATTAACCCCAGAAAGGAACCGAAAGGGCCTTCTTAGTGTGTTGCTAATGGGGACAAGTTGTGACCTTTACATTAAAAAAAAAAAAATAGGAACCTCATGAAGATCCCTCAGGTTGGGGACATCTAGTTGCAGGGCTGCAAATATGGCGGCTTGGCAGCAGAGTTCCGTCTCCGACCTCGCCGGGGTTCACACGCCTCTGTCTACATCTCCCCAGTTCCCGACCGCGTGAGAACTCCCGTCCAGATGCGAGACCCTGCAGACACTCGGAGTGTGTGGGTCACATGCATGTGGCCATGCTCTGCTGTCATCTCTTACTGGTAACCTTCCACATGGCCTGCGATGTCCTCCCGCCTCGTCTTGCAGATCTGAACTAGAGCGTACTAGCGAGCAAGGGAAGCCTGTGTCTATCCAGACCATGGGTCCTCCTTGAACCGGGAGACAACACGTTGCCACAGCCCCCTCTGCAGAAATTGGTGGACATGGTGCCCCGAACGTCACACCAAGGAAGCGGTTGGGTTTGGACCCGTCCGTCCATCCGGCTGCTCTATGGGGCAGGTGCTGCTGGACCTCACGTCCTGCTCTGGGGTCACCCTAGGGAAATGGGCCTTAGACGCCCTGCTCTGGAGTACTGTGTATATTGGGTGTGTGTATGTATAGCATCCGCTGGGGATGATGCTGTGCTGCCCTCCTGCTTCCGGTGGAAACTGGGAGGGAAGCTGAGATTGGAGACTGACCCCCAGGCCTCATCTGTGTGGACACCGCAGCCTCCTTGGCCACCCTGTGTCCTGCGGGACACCCTCAAGTCATAGGATTTCTCTGGTGACTGTTAGGAGTGAGCTGGACAGTTAGGTAGTCAGGGTCCCCAACAAGAAAACATGGAGTCAGGCAGCTAAAATAAAACAGCGCTGCCATCCTGTTCTGTGGCTTTGACGGGACCGCACTGACATTCCGTTTGCAGCCTTTGCAGAAATGACTTGTGCAAAATGTCCAAATAGGACAGTTAGCCACAAAAGCATTTGTCAGTATCACGGGCAAGGGGCAGTTAAGACCTAAGCCCCCAGATGTCAGCAAAAAAAAAAAAGAAGAGGAAGAAGACCATCAGCATGTAGACATGAACCTAAAAGGTAGACAGATACGTAGCCAGAGCCCCAACTGGCACGACTCAGTATACCCTGATTGCTTAAGAAAGTTCTGCAAAAGAGCTCCTCAAAACCCCTACCCTTAGAGACTCTGTGGGCAACCCACTGGGGCCCCCCTCCCTCTCCGGGAGCTTTCTACTCTTGCTCAGTAAACTTTGCCCTGCTGCCCACCTTCAGTCCTGGATCCAGCCTTGGGGAGTATCCTGCACATGTGATGGATGCTCAGGGCAACCCTCTGCAGGTCTCTGGAATTGCCTGTTGTTCTCTTCTCTCTGGCCCCCTGTCTTGTGAACTGTAGCCACCTTTGTTTCCCTGGACTCCCAGCAACATCTCCAGTTCAGGAAACCCACAAGCCTCCTCCTCCTGGGACCGTCTTCATGTCTGATAACTCTCTCGGGTCAGTCCTTGGAGGACTCACCTTGTTGGTTTTCCACTTCTCAGGTACACTATTCATTGCCTCAGGTCCAAGGGAGGGAGGCGGAGTAACTTTTCTGAGGACACATAATGTATAAGATGTGGAGCAATGCGAGACTCAGTTCTGTTTCAAGGACCCACACTTGTAAACTCCACACTACAAAGCCATTGAAAGGGCATTTTTTTTTTTTTTTTTGAGATAGAGAGTGTGAGCAGGGGGCGGGCGGGGACAGACAGAGAGGGACAGAGAATCTTAAGCAGGCTCCACACTCAGCACGGAGCTGGAGGTGGGACTCAATCTCACAACCCCGATATCATGACCTGAGCCGAGATCAAGAGACGCTTAATTGACGGAGCTACCCAGGTGCCCCAAAAGAGCATTTTTTAAAAGAGAAATGTTACAAGCACATCTGTGTATAAATCCTTGCCCTTGACCAAGATTTTCAGCTTACCTGTGCCCGAGTGGAGCTCACCCTGACTTCTCACATATGGGGTAGAAACTGGATGAAGCAATAACATGTTTCATCGATATGAGTGGGTCCCCCGGGCAGCAGAGGGATATGGTGGTGGGTCTGCATGGGGAGAGCAGAGTCGGCCGTTGCTGTGAGATCTTGGCAGGCAAGAGGAATGACCTCCACTCCAAGCCTGGAGAAGGCCCAGAACACAGCCCCAATCTCCAGCTGTGCTCTAGCCTGGGGTCTGGCTCAGAAGTTCAGAAGGCCTGATCCCGTTCCTGCGACTTTCTAATTACAGCCAATCTCGGCTGAGTTCCACGGGAGAAGGAGGCTCCAGGGGAGTCATTTGGAGGACTGTTTTCTCAGTTTTCCTGAGTGCTGGACAACTAGTGCCCCTGCAGGAGGAGAGGAGATCAGTTAATTGATGACATATGTTGGTGGCCATAGGGCAGTGGGCTCTGTTCTGCGGGAATCCTTGTCGAGAAGGGCCCATGGAGGTTTCCCAGCTAACCTGGCTTGTGGTGGGAGCACACAGGGTGGGCTGGGGTCTCAGGTCTGCCTGAGAAGGAGCACTGAGCTGCATTTGAATGGACACAAGCCTCAGAACGGAATGAAGAATCTTGGCCTCACCCAGTCCAGGTTCGACATGTCCCTCTCTTATCTTGCCCTTCTGGAATCCCGGGGCAAGGATGCTCATCCAGGCAGGCAGAGGGCCCAGCGCCATCTGGGGAAGGGCACATCTTCACCCTGGGATAGGTCAGGCTATGCTCACTGGATGTCAACCTTGTCACGTCCAACATGTGCCCACATTCCCTACTAAGCTCAAACTCAGTTGCCATAAATGGGCAGGGAGCTCATTTTCCCTGGCCTCATCCCAAGACCAGGGCACTGAGTTCCCAAAGTCTAACTTGGCTCAAATATCTTTACCTACTACGGTTATTTTTCTGCTGCTGTGATGGAATTTGCCATTTTCAACAGCTGTGAGAAATTCAGAATTTATTTCTCTCAGTGGGAAATACCACAGTGAGGTAGATGGTTACTGGAGGCTGTTATTTTTCCATTGTATGGATCCTTAAACAAATGACCATAGTTAGTATTTTAAAGGGCTTGATCTTTTTCTATAGGATGCAATCCATGGAGCAGATAGGTATGTAGAAATAGATATCTCTTGTCCATTTAAATTCTTGTATTTTTATAGCTTTGAGGCATAATACAAATGGACAGGGAACCTGGCTAGCAGCAACCAAATATAGTTCCAACAGGGAGGTTTATTACTGCGTCTGGAAGTAAATCATGGCTAATGTTCTGGGCTGAGTTTGCTCCAGGCATGTGAGCTCACTCCATCAGATCTTGCCAGATACAGACTCGGAGAGCAGTCATGGCAGAATATCGACAGAAGCCATAGCCGCTCTTGGGTGTTTGTGTCCTTTTCAGAAAGTGGCAAATTCATCTTGGCACTCAGCTCCCTTAAGACAAAGCAGAGGGTTCATGCCTTGCTGATTTCTGGAGGGAAGCTCAGCTGCTATGAAAATACATCCCTAGTTGTATCTGGATTTATAGAATTTTAAGACAAAATTCTACCTTTTTTTCCCCACAAAAAGTACCCTCTTCCCTTACCCCATTACATGTCTCCCTTTATGGGATTATCAGCCATGATTATTTGATGCCAAGAACCACTCATAATGACTCATTTTTTTTTTCTTCATATATTGTATATTATATTGTCCTTCTTCTTCCCTGGACAATTAGATATGCGAGTCCCAACAAATGAAGAAGGGCATCTCATATCTCTGATACAGCGACAATCAGCCACTAGGAAGAAATGAATTTCATGAAATGATTTGAGAGTACAAATCATTAATATTTGCTAGTCACAAATTCCAGATAGGTCAATGAAAAAAAAAGCACATATTGAAATTAATTATACTTATGTAAAAATCCATCCACTTAAACCTTTGAAGCATAATAACACATACACTAAGTGTTTAACTTTATATTATTCCTTATAAGGAATATTTTTATGTAACATCTGAATAGATTAATTCCTATACTGCCTTCTACTTGATTTTGTGATATTGACATTTGATGTTCACTTACATACATTTCTAAATATTTACATCTTTCAAGTTACTTACATTTATGTATTCTCTGGTGTTTGCTACAGTGAATATTTAAAATGAAGGTCTTTCCTCATTCATTATGTTTCTAGGGTTTGAATCTAGGATGCATTTTTGGGATACTGAGTATAGACTGAATTCCAGTTAAAGGCACTGCAACTTTGTCTGCATTTTACAGATTCTATCCTGTATGATAACTATGATGTTGAGCAATTTGTGAATTCCAGTTAGAGGCTTGCGACACTCCTTACGTTGTAATCTTTCTCCTCAGTATATGTGCTGCCGAAGCGAGCACTCTTTCTCCTCAGTATAAACTCTGAGATACAGAAAAGGGTTGAGCAGTTTAAAAGTTTCCCATGTTCTTTACATTTGTAACTTTTTCCCCAGTATGAATTCTGTGTTGTTGAATGAGGCTTGACCTCTTATTAAAGGCAATGCCAAATTCTTTGTATTTGCAAAATCCAGTCCAGCATACATTCTCTGATGGGGAATCAGGGTTTAACATTGCTTAAAGGCCTTGCCACATTCTTAACAACTTTATGGTTCCTCTCCACTATGAATTCTCTGATGTGGAGTAAGGGGTGAGTAGTCTTTAAATGTTTTCTCACATTCTTTTACATTTGTAATGTTTGTTCCACTATGAATTCTGTGGTAATGAGTAAAGGTTGAACAGTGATTAAAGGCCTTCCCGCATTCTTTACTTAGGTAAGATTTCTCTCATCACGTATGAGTTCTGTGATGTTGACGCAGGTGTGAGTGCTGGATAAAGGCCTGGCCACATTCCTTACATATGTAAGGTCTCTCTCCAGTATGAATTCTGTGATGTCGAGTCAGGTGTGAGTGCCGGTTAAAGGCCTTTCCACATTCTTTGCATACGAAAGGTCTCTCTCCAGTATGAATTCTGTGATGTTCAGTAAGCTTTGAGTGCTGGTTAAAGGCCTTGCCACATTCTTTACATTGGTAAGGTTTCTCTCCAGTAGGCATTGGTTGATGTTGACATAGTGTTGACATAGTGCCAGTCAAAGGCTTTGCCACATTCTTCACAAATGTAAGTTTTCTGTCCAGTAACGGCTGTGTTATGTATGTTTAGTCCTGATGCTTGGCTAAACATGTTCCCAGGTTTATTACATCTGTATGAGTTTTTTTCCATGTGAATTCTCTGATAATCACCAACACTGGAGGACTGGTTAACAGATTTCCCATATTCATTATATTTATAAGGATTCTCTCCCAAAGGGATACTCTTATATATAATAAGGTTGGAGCTTTGATAAAAGACTTCCTCAAATTTATCAAATTAAAATGGTTCTCTGGAAAATGAGTCCTTTTTTATAAACATTTGAACACTGGTTAAATTGTTTTGCAGATTCGCTACATTGAGCAATTCTGTTTTCATTGAATATGTTCTGGTAATTTTGTAGAGTCAACTCCTTGGTGAAGGATCTCTCAAATGGATCCCACATAGCACTTTGTTCTTCATTTTTAAATCTTTGATTTTCAGAAATATTTGACTCAAATGTCAATCCAATCCTACTTTCAAAATGGTTCAAATAATTATTTTCAGCATGAACTAGATAACTTTCCAGATTTTCCAACTTTTCCTTCTCCAGATATGTATGTTTGACCATTTGATTTAAGCCCTTGCTTACAGAAACAAACTGCTTTGCAGAAGAAGCAGGGTTAAGAAGGGATGTTTTCCAAAGTGTTTTATATCCTTCATCATTTTGGGCAGTGAGATTCATATTATGGACAGTTGTCTCAGTTTGGATATGTCCTTCATGATATCTTTCATGCCCTTCACTCTCCCCATCATTTTTCCAGTCTATCATTAAGTGTAAATTGTCAAGGGCACTATGTTTATATCTACCCACTGCCACGTTTTGGAAAGAAGCTTCTATGCACAGCTTTGGCAGGAAATTCTGGGTGCCATTTGAAGAGACAGCTCATTTATCTCTCAGGTTTAACCAAAGAGTGATAAAAATGATTCCTTTCTAGGTGGTGGAGAAAAAGAAGGAGGAGGCACACCTCACATGGGAACCAAGAGACTGAATCAAGGCTGCATGGAATCCAGCTTCAGTTCAATGAAGACCGCTAAATATACTGGATGGATGGCTACTGTTTCCTTTCTCTTCACATCCCAGAGCTGCTTCTCTTGCTCCAAAAAGATGACCAGGTCTGGCTTCCACACAGTAAGACCCAGGAAGAGGAGGTGTCCGTAGTTCTCTAACATCACATCCCTGTACAATTCCCGCTGAGTGTGGTTCAGGCATCCCCACTCCTCCTGAGAGAATTCTATGGCCACATCCCTGAATGTCAGCAGTCCCTGAGAACTGGCCATTTCTTCTTCTTTCACCTTGTCCTCTAGATTTCTTTGTCAGAAGAGATTCATCCATAATGACTCATCTTACTGATTGTTCTCTGACATGTAAAGTTTATCAAAGTATCAGAAAGGTTCAGGATTGGGGAATCTGGCTCACCCCCCCACCCCACCCCAACCCTACCCTGTCAGCGTCACCACCACCTCCAGGAAGAAGACAACACAAATCCTTCAGGATGGCTGCTAATCAGAGCCTCAGGAAACAATTCTCCATGACCCTGTCATGTTGCTCCACCCTAAACAGGTTTTGCTCCAGGGAAAGGCTTTCTTGCATCTAACAGAGTCCCTTGTGCTGACAGTTGTATATTTTTCTTTCACCTGTTTTTTTAAGTTGAGGTATAATTGACATAGCATCATATTGCTTTCAGGTGTGCAATGCAATAGTCGATATTTGTATATATTTACTGTCTGCAAAGTGTAGGTATGGAATCACAGAGCGCTGGTGCTGCAAGGGAGCTCAGTGCACAGCTTTGTGATACAACAGGAGCGGAAGTACGGGCCCAGTGAGGCCAAGTTCCCACAGATGGTTGGGAGCAGAGAGGCCTGGTCTCCTGGGCCTGAAGAGCATTTCTTTTCACCATATGGAATTCATTTGCAGATACATTTAAATCCCTCCCCAGACTCCATTTCTCAAGTTGAAGATGATCTTTTAGCCTTTCCCAAAACTTCAGATATTTTCTTCTTATTTTCTCCGAGTTCTCTGTACACAGATTAAGTTGTGGTGTGGAGACCATGCTGTTCTCAGAACAAGTAGCAGGCTCTACTGTTAGTGTCTGGGATAATATTCTTATCATGAACAATCCATTAATAAAGCCAAAATATCTCTTGAGCTCTTACGCACCACATATCAGACAGTGATGTATGCACTGAGTACATAGGAATGAACATGACAGCCCATCCTTCAAGGGCCTTGGAGTTTGAGGGAGATGTTGATAGCTTAGGGGTTGACCAAGGTATGAAGGAGGAGATGTGTGTGTGGGGTGGCTTGGAGGGGTGGTTTGGGGCCCAAGAAAGGGTATCATCATGTCTATGGGGCTTTGGGAGAAACTTTAAGGGAAGTTTTTACAAAAAGTGGGGTTTTTTGCTGGCTCTGGAAGAAGGCACTACTTGGTGGGTAAGTGGAGCAACCCATTTTTAGCCTTCCCTACTTTGGTGTTTAAGCACCATTTTTAGCCTTCCAGTGTTCAGCAGTGTTTAAGCACTAAAGTAGTGTGTTTGGCATGACTTACATATGCATGTGTGCACCTGTGTGCGGGCACATGGATATGTGTGTGTCTTCAGTAGCATTTTTTGGAGTAACAAGATCACATGGGTTTTGGAAAGATCACTTCGGTTGCAATGTGGAGAATGAATTGAAGGGAGAAGAAAGGAAAATCCATTTAGGCGACTAAAATAATAGTCCAGAAAGAAATGATGAAGATTTGGATGAGGCAAAGGGCCATATCAGGAGAATAATCCACAGGATTCAGTGGCCCCTTGGATACTGAGTGTTGAGGAGGTTGTCTAGGAGTTTTATGGTATTAGGTGTTCTGTTTAAGTCTCTGGTCCATTGTGAGTTAATGTTTGTGAGTATTGTAAGACAGGGGTCCAATTTCATTTTTTCTCCATGTAGTTAACCAGTTTTCCCAGCACCATTTGTGGTGGTGTTCTTTTCCCATTGGATGTTCTTGGCTCCCTTATCAAATACTAGCTAACCAGACAAGCAAGGGTTCAATTTTGGGCTCTTTGCTCTGCTCCATTACCTACAGGTCTGTTTTTATGCCGGTACCATGCTGTCTTAATTACTATAGCTTTGTAGTAGCGTGAAATCAGGAAGTGTGATGCCTCCACCTTTGTTCTTTCTGTGATGGCCTTGGCTATTTGGCATCTTTTGTGGTTCCATACAAATTTTAGGATTGTTTACTCTATTCCTGTGAAAAATGCTGTTGCAATTTTGATAGGGATGGCAATGAATTTATAGCTAGCTTTGGGTATCAAGGACTTTTAATAATATTAACTCTTCTAATCCATGAGCCATTTGTTTGTGTCTTCTTTGATTTCTTTCGAACAAGTCTTGTAGTTTTCATTGTATTGATCTTTCACTTCCTTGGTTAAATTTATTTCTAGGTATTTTATTGTTTTTAATGCTACTGTAAATGGGATCGTTGTATTTTTTTCAGATATTTCATTGTTAGTGTATAGAAATGCAACTTGTTTTTGTGTATTGATTTTACAGCCTTTAGCTTTACTGAATTCATTGGTTAGATCCAACAGTTTTTTAGTTGAGTCTGGGATTTTCAATACAAGATCACATCATTTGAAAACAATGCCAAATTTCCAGTTGGAATACCTTTTTTTTCTTTGTCTTGCTTGATTGCTCTAGATGGGACTTCCAGTACCATGTTGAGTAGGAGTGGTGAGAGTGACCATCCTGAGGCTCTCCTCCAGTTTTAATATTTTATTCAAGTTTTATTTTAAGTGATGATAATTTAAGCAGTTGAAGGAGGAGGGTCTAATTCCAAACAAAAGGGAAGACTAAAATGAACCCATTAAACTTCTAAAAAGCCAGCTGAGTGGTGATCATGCAACAGAAGTCTGATTTCGATCCCAAGGGTTGTCACCATGTGACTACAGTGATACACTCTTCCCATCTTGCAGCTGGAACTCTTGGCAGCTATGTCAGACTCTGGTGCAAAGGCAGCAGATCCATAAGAGAGAGAATTAAGTCCTGAGTCATGGCTTTCATCACGTCCACCCTCTCTACCCCAAAACAGCACAGAGGAAACAGCTACTTTCCCTGACGACCACTTTTGAGGAGGATGGAGTAAGAGGTAGTGATGTAGGCATCTCTGCTGAGGGGCTCTGTGTTGGGGCATAGCTTCAACAATCAACGAGACAGTTCACAACTACACCTTAGCTTAACTTAGCTTTTACAGAGCCTCAAGGTCAGCCACAGGTGGAGCTATGGTCTCTCCTGAGCCTTTACACGGCCCTGGGCATGTATGTGGCCTTCTAGATTCCCAGAAATATGTGGGGGCTTTTCAAAGCCCTTATTCGAATACCCAGAGCTCCTCATTCCCTAGTATTTCCACCCCCACCTTTTGGCCAATCTATTGTGATCTGTTATCCACTACCTCATGCATCAGTGACTAAAACATTTGCCCAGAAAGGTTTTCGATAAATGGCCCCAGATAGCAGCTTTATCACAAGGCCAGAAATCCAAGCCTTTAGAACATGTCTCCCAGGGAACCTCCAGACAGATCAAATAATGGCAATTCTTTGCAAATAAGGTCCATTCTTCCCCCTCTGGTGCCTGACCCAGGGATGCAGACTGTTATTTTAAAGGCTAACACTCATTGACGCATTGGGGGATGGGCTAGGGTAATATGAAATGCTGCTTATGGAGATTCAGGCCTTTTTTTGGAATAAGTGCCCCCCAGGTTACTGCATGGTTTTGCGTAGATTCTAGAGTTCCAAATGAGTTTATTCTGCCTGTTTTTTTGTTTCATTGATTTTTATGCAGATGTGGATTTTTGGATTTCCTTACTCTGACAATTTTTGCTCTCATCACCCATGAGTGAGTTTCTTAAGAGTAAATAGGTTCTGTATTTTATTTATCTACATGCTGAGGAAACTTTTGGTCACAGGATAGATGTTTGCTACATACTTGTTGCATAAAGGAATGCATGGATCAGTAGGAATTGAAAATAGAGACATTTGAGAAGCTTGGCCATGACTGGAAGTAGGTATGTGGTGCCTGGAGGGGAGATAGTTTTGAGGGAGGTTTTTTTTTTTTTAATTGAACACATTTATAGCATGTGGTGAGAAACCGCTGGAGTGAGAACATTAAAAAATCTGTATTACTACATGGCTGTGTTCACCATCCTTGTTTTTGGCAATGGTGTGACTCTGGCCCTAAGTCAGCCTGTGGTTCCCTTCATCCTGAGCTCTTTCCTTTCACATCTGTCTGCTTAGAGTCTCTACAGTAGATGTTTATGGAAAAATATATTCTTTCTTACAATGCTTTTTTGAGATAAAATTCACATACCATAAAATTTCACTTGTTTTAAGTGTACAGCCCCAGTGATTTTTAGTGTATTTATAGAGTTGTGCAACTATCACCACTATTATCCAATTTTAGAACATTTCCAGCGCCTCAGAAGGGTCCCTTGTGGCCGTGTGCAGTCCTCCCCGCCCCTCGCCCCTAGTGTCGGGCCAGCATGGGTCCACTATCTGTGCTCGTGGAGTTTAGGTTTTGTGCTCACTGAGGGAGCTCGAGCGTGGTTCCGTGTTCCTTCTCAGGCAGAGCTGAGACCCCAGCCCACCCTGTGTGCTCCCACCACAAGCCAGGTTAGCTGGGAGACCTCAGTGGGCCCTTCTCGACAAGGATGCCCGCTAGAATAAAGCCCACTGCCCTAAGGCAACCAACATGTGTTGTAAATTAGCTTATCTCAGGGCGACTAAGTGACTCAGGTAGTTAAGTGTCCAACTCTTCATTTCAGCTCAGGTCATGGTGTCAGGGTAGTGAGATCGAGCCCCGCATTGGGCTCTGTGTTGGGCACGGAGCCTGCTTAAGATTCTCTCTCTCCCTCTGCCCCTCCCCCACATCCCCTTGCTTGCACGCTCTCTCTCTCTAAAAAAAAGAAAAAAATCAGCTTATCTCCTCTCTTCCTACAGGGCACTAGCTATGGAGCATTCTTGGGAAAACAGAAAAACAGTCCTTCAGATCACTTGTCTGTAGGCTAAATCCTGATTGAGAGGGCTTTAATGAGAAAGGATGGGGAATAGGATCAGGCCTTCAGAGACTTCTGAACCAGTCATTATTTTAACAGGTCATTACAAGCTGCCTCTCCACGCCCCGGTACTCTGCATCAGGTACTGTGCGGAGCTAAGGATGTAGGATTCCTACCCTGGAGGAGCCCATAGCCTCTCAGGGTTGCTGATGACAGGCTTGCCCATGACATTGTCAGACAGGAAGGTAACAGATCTCCAGGTGGTGGGAGGACTCTCCTTCTTGGATGGCTCACTGGGAGGAGAGCTCTGTGGTCCTAGAAAATTAAGCAGGCTGGGGAATACCAGGCAGACATTGTCCTAATCTGTACTCTTCTGGGGAAGAATGTTTTAAATTTCTCCCAACATATTTGTTCATGGAAGCCAAAGATCAGCGTTTTATTAGGAGGGAGCTGTAGTGAGCTGGAATGAGTCTCATCTTCAGTGGTGTGATCTTGCTCAGGAAGTGGACCTCGGGATGGTCTTGGACTCCTTGGTGAACCACCAGAAACACCAATTCATTTAATGAAACATACAAGTTAGGAATGTGTATTTGCATACCGTGAAGTAATCTCGGGCACATGTGAAAACACATCACGAAATACCACAAGGCGGGTGCCTGGGTGGCTCAGTCGTTAAGCGTCTGCCTTCGGCTCGGGTCATGATCCCAGGGTCCTGGGATCGAGTCCCACATCGGGCTCCCTGCTCGGCGGGAAGCCTGCTTCTCCCTCTCCCTCTCCCCCTGCTTGTGATCCTGCTCTCGCTATGTCTCTCTCTGTCAAATAAATTAAAAAAAAAAAAGAAAGAAAAGAAATACCACAAGGCATTTCATGGAATGTCCTGCTGTGTCTGGTTTTTCTAACAGTCATTTGCTATTCATTCGTTCGTTTTCTGCCAGCTCTTGTTGGATAATTGGTACCAGGTTGCAGATTTTAGGAAAAATCTAGGATTAAAAACTCAAAATTGGGAAAATTCTATCCAATATTTGTGTATGCATATGAAGGGGCAAAAAATTGGCACCATTTAGTTTTATCAGCAGGACACCTCGTTCAGGGCAGGGAGAGGGGGCAGGGTTTGAGAACCACTCACTACAAGTCGCTGGGGAGGATTGTGTAGGAGTTCTCTTCAAATAGCGGAAGCCCTTCTTTATCGACTGCCTGCTGGCCATTCCTTATCCTTTTCCGTGGGAAGCTGCATCCCCGCCTCTCACTGCCTCACTCTGTGATGGGCATACTGGGGGAACCCAGTCGGCTAAGAGTTCTGGACCCAGCTGGTGCACTGTAACCTGGTGGCAAAGATCTCTTTTGTTTTATTTTCCTTATCTGCAAACTAGAAATGATAATATTCCCTTGCTGATGTCTCAATTTTTCCCATGAAAGTCAAGTATTAATGAATAAATATAAAGAATCATTAATTGTTTTGCCTGGGGATTGTGTAGTCATGATTCCGTCTCTCCCTGGATGGATTCCCAATGGCTGCCTCCATGATGGTTCCCGGTGGCCCCACCTTGTGGGATGCATGCCCCGTGTGTCAGCCTCTCACAGTTGGGTTGTCCTGTGTGTCCAGAGCGTGGCAGGAGTGATGTTGTGCCCCTTGAGATTAGGCTATACAAGGCACCAGTGTGGCTCTGTCCTCTGGGGAAGCCAGCTGCCCTGTGGCCACCAGCCATCCTGCGGACCATCCCACCTGATGAGGCCTCTGGCCAGCAGCCATCTGACTGGCTTCGAAGTGGCTGTTGCCTAGACGTAGATGTTGCAGCCTTTCTCGCCTTCAGATGACCGCAGCCCCGGTCACTGCTTTGCTGGAATCTACAGAGATCCGAAGCCAAAGAGAGGCGGCTGAGTTGTTCCAAGCCTCCTGACTCTCTGAGTTAATAAACGCTTGCTGGTTTCCTGCTCTGTTCTGGGGTAACGTGTAATGCAGCGTTAGGTAACTGATACAGTCCTCAGATAGAAAAATGTGTGTATTTGCCCATAGAACGTGTGCTGGTCACTTGGAGGCTACTCAGCTTCACCAACACTCGAGGAACAAAAGTGAAAGCGAATGATGGAAGGGCGGGAAGGTAGAGTGTAGACGTGCCTGTGAAGGTTTATTCCCCACTGAGGCTGTCTGTCCTGCACAGATGCCCAGAGCGACACCATAGGTACCTTCCACGAGCTTCCATGACCCGCCAGCAGATGTGTTTCTGGCCTGACAGCCCGAGCCGTGGTTCCTCCAGAGGAGGCCTGCCGGCGCCTCTCCTCACAGCCCGGCCCTGTGTGCCCCCCTCTGGCCATGGCAGCCTCTGGAGGGACAGGGGACACCAGGAGCCCCAACGCGAGAACCTATAGCGTCAGCGTGAGGAGGTCATCCCGTCTCCCCCGGACAGCCTCCCTCCGCGCCTTCCTGTGTCTCCACGTGCTCTTCGTCGCGCCGCCGGCCAGCTCCGGTCGCTGCCCTGCTGACCCCAAGGGAATGACAAACAAGTGGCTGCCCCAGGGGCATGGCCACGGCAGCTGTCTTCATGGCACGGCTGGAGCTTGCAGCTCCCGGGACGTGCAGCTGGCCTGCAGCGGATACGAGGGAAGGACGGCAGCAGTGGACACACGCCGATCCCCCGAGAGCAGACGGGACACTCGTCCATCCTCGTTGCCTCTGCCCCTGCTGCACGCCCGTCCCGCGGAAGTCAGGGCCTCTCACCAGGGAGCTACCCACGCACCTCTGGGGAAAGTGGGCCATAGCCGGAGCCCACGAGGGGTTGGCGGGTGAGGGCCGCGGGCCAGCTGCTGCAGCAGGGGGTCCGGTTTGTGGGGCCCTGACCAGCAGTACGCCGGACACGCGGTTCAGCGAGAGGTAGTCGGCCTGGCCGTCGCCGCCCTGCAGAACCCCCCACCTGGCCCCAAACACGTCACACCATTCAGGACCAGACAGAAGGAGCCCACTAAAGAGACACTTGGTTGTTACTTGTACTACAAGACTAGCAGTGGAAGTTTTGATGTCAGGCCTCTTTTCTGTTCCTAAGAATTATTGAGGATCCCACAGGTTTTTGTTTACGCAGGTTATGGCTACAGATACTCATCCTAAAAATTGAAGAAATTGAAAACTATTTATTTATAAATGAGAATAATAAACCATTACATGCTATTATAAATGACATCTTTTATTTTTTATTTATTTATTTATTTATTTATTATTTTTTTAAAGATTTATTTATTTATTTATTTATTCATGAGAGAGAGAGAGAGAGAGAGAGAGAGAGAGAAGCAGGCTCCCAAGGAGCAGGGAGTCCGATGCGGGACTCGATCCCAGGACCCTGGGATCATGACCTGAGCCGAAGGCAGACGCTTAACCATCTGAGCCACCCAGGCGCCCTCTAAATGACATCTTTTAATAAAAATATCTATATTTTCCAAAATTAAAAAAATCTGATGGGAGAAGAGGTACATTGTTTTACATTTTGAAATGCAGTGGGCAGGCTGGAGACCCGTGAGCCGGGGGTGTGGGTCTGAGCCATAGGCACTGAGAGCCAGAGCACAGAGAGGCACATGCTGGTCCGGGGGCAGGAGAAGACCGTGTCCCGGCTCAGCAGTCAGACACAGAGGGAGTTGCGCCCCTTTCTGCCTTATCCAGGCCTCCGTGGATGGCTGAGCCCCACCCTCACTGCTTTACTCAGTGTGCAGATTCGGGTGTGAATCGCCCAGAATAGTGTTGAACTGCATACCTGGGCCCCTGTGGTCCAGGCCAGGTGACACATAAGATTGGCCATCACACCCCAGAAGTGAGACAGAGCTTATCCTGGTCTAGAACTGGTGTAAGGGAGCCTGAGCCCACGTGGGGGTAGGAGGAGCACTACGTGGAGGAGGAGCACCATGTGGACTGGTGCCTGGAGTGGAGATCAAGGCTGAGGAGGACAGTCCTGGCTCCCTGTGCCTCCAGATCAAATCCTGGGGCTCCCCCCCCTCGGCAGCTCCACTGGCCACACCTTCTTTACCTTTTCATTTGTCGGTGGACAAACAACTTTGGTCATTTCCGTATCTTGGATTGTGAATAATTCTGCAATGAACATGGGAGTGCAAATATCTCTTCTAGATCCTATTTTCATTTCCTGTGGATACGTACCCAAAATGGGATTGCTGGATCTAGTTCTATTTTTCACTTCTTGAGGAACCTCCACACTGTTTTCCAGAGTGGCTGCACCAGTTTGCA